GCTGCATCATCATATGGAAAATGTTCTACATCTACTTTTTCATCAGCTATTCTCATTAGGTTGCTCAAATGCGTATTTGTTTCGTTTTGATCGTTTCTACCCACATTTGTTTCATTTTCATTTGTCCGTTTCGGAGTAGAATATATTGCCTTTACAAGGCATTTGTCCATCTTTTATTAATGCGCAAGAAATTTGAACGTCTTACATGAAGAAACCTTACCTACAGTAAACACGTGGTTGCAGAGAAATGCGTTCTGAAAGAGGTTCCGAGGGATGGTGTTCTGTTGTTCTTAAAGGTTCTGAACAATACTGGTAAATAGGGAAGCTAGATAATGGGGCAGATGTTGAAAATAAAAAAAGATCCAGGAAGAAAAGTGAAACGGAAATTCTCGAATTTTGAAATTGGTTTATAGAATGCGCGAATTTCTCGCTGTAATAATTTTTTTTAATGCGAGAAAAGAAAAAAATATGCGAGATTCTCGCGTTCTCGCTCTGTAGTGAAAACACTGTATTTGTTAGTGTAATATCAATGAAAATATATGAAGCAAATTGTGTGCATAATCTTTTTGAATAAAAAAAAAAACATTTGTATGTTTTTAGCTTTCTCCGTGAATAAATTATTTTTTTCTGTACAGAAATTATTCTATCAAGGTTGCCACGCTACAGGGAAAACCTGGAAAATACATGGAATTTTGATTTTTTCTTTACAAACTTGGAAAATACAGTGAATTTTGTTTCTTAAAAAATGGTGACCACTCAAAGCACAATCTATGGGATATTTAACCGTGATATTTCAGCCATACTAAACTGTTTCATTTACTATATAACATTATTTAAGTTTATTCAGCTTATTTCCCACCATATTGAAACTAATAAATATAGTTAGCTCAATATAGCTCACCCAAGAGCGCAGTAATTGTTGTTTCCTCTTAAAATATTGTGTATAATATGTACAGGGAAAACACAGGGAATTTTTTTCCAGATTTGAGTGGTAACTCTGTCTATACATTTATGAATAAATTCTTTTACACTAATTTTAAACATGTTTTTGTTAGAAATATTGGCAAAAATCGATAAATCAAATTTTTCTGGTTTTAATTTCATAGTTTTTATTTTTTTAAGCTAATTGTGTGGTGTTTTTGAATTTTTGTTTGGAAAGCAGAGATCCATTAACATTTAAAAAATAAATAAATCCATTGACCATTTAACATTTAAAAAAAAAAACTCAATATCTGAAATTATGTTCAAAATATAGGGTTTTGTTAAATACATTAAGTATTTTTTTGAATATACTACTCTTCAGTTTCTTTATTTTGGTTTATACATAATGATTTTATCTAGTGAAATGAACAAATTTAATACTTTATCCTGAAATAATTCAGTCATTTTATCATTTTAAGTTTTTAAATCATATTAAGTTTTTCTTTATAACATTATTTCTGCATAAGGATTTTGAAATAAAATCTTTTAAAATAGTTTTATGTCTGTTTTTAAAATGTTTTTAATTTGCTAAAAATATTTCTTCATTTTATGTCAATTTTATAATTGTTTAACTGGTATTTTATAATTAGTGTATTCAAATTTAATCACAACGTTTTTGTTGTGCTCATAGCTTTTAAGCATATTTTTTAAATGTTAATTTATTAATTTTATTCATATTGAACAATTGTTTTTATTTTAGTTGGAAAATCTACTCAGGATATAATTTCAGAGAACCTTATAAATATGGAAGACGAAGATGAAAGTATAACCATAGCTTCTTATACTGTTAATCAGTGCTTGCAAGTTTTAGAACAAGTGAGTTGATAAATAATTAGTTTAATCGAGAAGTTTATATTTCTTTTTACAAAAATGTAGTTTTTATTTTTCTCTTATGTGTAACTTCTATTTAAAAGCCTATTGTAACATAATTTCTCTTTAAAATTATCTTCTTTTAAAGTTTTTAATGAAAAGTAAAAAAATAAATAATTGTTCTAATTTTCAAAAAATTAGCCTGTTTTTAAAAACAATGTTTCAGTTAAATGAGACTTTTAATATTAAAATAAGCTTTTAATGAGAACTAGTTAAATCATTTTAAAGAGCCACTCAAAAATTCTAATAAAACTTATGTTTAAAGAAAGGGTTGGAAATAAACAGAATGAATGTAGTCTCCTAATGTAGGGCCCTAAGGAGTATAGTTAATTTCGAGCTCTACTTATAAGATTGGATGTAAACAGGATGAGTAATAGATAGACAAAAATGATTTTGTTTCAAATTGATATATGTAGTGTATATCATGTAGATATACATAGTATATTATTTAAAAGTGTCATAGTGTCTTTATTTAAAAGTGTCAAAGAACAAGGTTAAAAGTATGTTTAGTTACTCAGTTATCAGAGATTAAGTTATATCAATATAAATAATATTTAGATAGTTTTATTTTACCTTGAAATCAGTTTAATTTGATTTATCAGATCCTATTACTGGAGTACTTGATAGAAATTATATTCATTCTTATCCAGAGTCATGTGTTTAACAAATAAAATAATTTTCCATTAAATCCTTAAAAATATTTGTATCTATATTAACATACTTATAGCATATATATTCCTTATAATTAGTTTATTTTTTATACCTTGGATATTTATTGTACAGTACTCAAAATAAAACAACTTTGAATAACTTTTGATGCAGTGATCAGATTTTCATGTATTAGGATTTAATGATTTGAGAGTCTCACCTTAAAAAGGCTATTTAATTAGTGCAGATGATATTTTAAGTTAAAAAATCTGATTTAAAAACATATTTACTTTAAATGAACATGATTTTTTTTGTTGTTGATGATTTTGGATCCATGACCCTCAAAATTTAGGAGGAATCGGTCACAATCTGGAAAATATGCTGCCAATAGTCTGGTCTGGACAGTTGTCGAAAATTTAATGCCCCTTAACTTATTTTCTATGTAATTTGACATAGTTTGAGAACTTTTTGGGCGAATTGAAAATTTTTTTGCACAAAATTAAGAAAATGCAGAAAGTTTTTTCATAAAGAGTTAGTGTTTCCAAAAAGTTTTTCATTTTATCTAAGCCTGCCTGCCAAAAAGTAAATGAACATTAAGGGTTCCAATCTTTTGACTCCTCTCTTAAACTAGTTATTGGGGCCATACTTTCCAGATTGCGGTTACCCCCGTATTTTTAAGGTCAAGAATCCGAATCTGCCGAAAAAGAATTGTTTATTCTAAGAAAATGTATTTTCATGTCTGAGGAATCCGAATCTGCGAAAAGGAATTGTTTATTCTAAGAAAATGTAATTTCATGTCTGATTTCTTAAAGTAAAGTCTGAATTAATTAACATGTTCAAGGTTAAACCACTAGTTTGATTCTTAGTATGTGAAAATCTGATCATTAAACCAAAAGTTATGCAGGGTGTTCACTTTTTCATTTTGTGCACTGTTCATTATTATTCTATTTTAAATTGCAGATTTTGTCTGTTGATCCAAGTTCTCCTTGTAAAACCTTAGATCATGAAGATTTTTCACTGCTACGATGCCTTACTAAGTAATATTTTTAAGTAAATTCTTTCAGCATATTCAAAACTAAACTTTACTTTAAATGTTTACAGGGTGGCCATAGATCAAGGAAGTTAGGGAAAATAGAGAAAAGTCCAGGAATTTTATCAACATGGAAGTAAATTAGGGAAATGAAAGGTTGTTAAACTACAGTTCCGAGAAAATTAATTAATTTATGTGTGAGGTACCTAAAAGTACAATATCTTTTCCAAAAAAATTTGTCTTCTAACGTTTTTGTTAAAAAATTATTTTTTTAAATTTTCAACCCTAATGACGCATGCTAGTGATTTGCTATGTATTTTATGTTTAAGAATAAGGCATTTCTTAAAAATTAAAATTTATGCCGCAGGTTACAAAATCAGGAAAAAGTCGGAATTTTTTTCTGAGTGTTTGGGGCCACCTTGTGTGGCTATTCTTTGTCTCTTTTATTTATGGACTAAATAATCTATTTTCTGCAGGTTGTTAGAATGGAGCATGATATCTTTATTCCCTCAGCATGTTTCTAATAGAGCACCATTTAAAGTTAAAAATGCTGTACATGCTTTCCATCTTTCAACACTTGTGTCTATTCTGAAAGTATTCTCAATTTTGTCTTTTGATCCAGGCAAGTATATATATATATTTTTTTTTAACATTATCTTAACATTAACATTTTTTAATATAAAATACATTTACTTGTAGACAGGCACCATGTCCCACCTGTTTGTCCTATGTACTTGCCGAAACACAAAAATAGATAATTATAAAAACAAAACATGAATATAAAATGTGCGAGTATGTAAAGTCTCTCTCTTCTTTTCTCTCTCTCTGTGCGCTTTTGTAAAATGGTTATTTTTTTAAACGAATTTTGTCCTTTTTTCAGCCCCCTACAATTCAATTTTTTTTTTTTTTTTTTGGAAATTTGATTGCATGGATATCATGTATCAAAACAAAATCTAACCTAAATGTTTCAAAGTTTGGTTTCAAAAGGTTTTAGAGTTCTTTAAGGCATGTACGTTTTCAAAATAATCTAAAGTAGGTAAATATGTTTGACTTAGACAATTAAATTAGACCTGTAAATTAGAAGACAATTGATTTAATTAGCCTTCGTGTAAACAGCGCTGTTTTGTACTTACAATTTTTTAAATTGATCTTGCCTCTTTTTAGTGCCAATTCTTTTTCAAAATAACACAAATGCACGGATGTTTTTAAAAATTATGAAATTGTTTAAATGTTTTTTTTATTTGACATAGGTTTTGAATATTTTTTTAAACAAATTATGTATTACCATTCATATTTTATGATATAAGAACTTTCAAAAAATGTAGAGATGGTAATACAAGTTGACATGTTTCAAGTATTAAAAAAAAAGCACCTATTCTTAAGAACGGTCAGACGTGAATGAAGAAAACAAAAGTGATTTGATGTAAAAAACATGAAGTTGCTAGCAAAATAATAGAAAATATAGGTGAAAATTCTTTATTTATTTTTTATTTTCTAGTTCACGCCGAGGTTTTTCTAAATTGGTTTTTCCGCCTTTATTTTTTATTATTTAATTGGAAACTTAGCCTTTTCTGTTTCAAATTGCTTATTTTTACCTAATTCATATCTGGTAAATCTTAAGAATGGGAGTAAATTTTTGAGTGCTCGAATCATGTCGACTTGTATTGCCATCTTCCTATCTGTGCACCTGGAAAGTCTTGAAAAATCATGGAAAGTCATGGATTAAGGTCGCCAAAAAGTCTAATTTTTAAAATGGAATTTACCTCCCTCCCAATTTCATGGTGTACCGAATATCTGAATTTGTAACAAAATCCCCACTCTCAGTCATATTTTATTAAAATATAAAATGTTTTTTAAAATGTTCTTTAAAAATTATGGTGTTCTTTAAAAAAAGGAAAGAAAAAACATAATTTCTAGAGCGAATTATCTTTTAAACTTCTGTGATTTCAGAATTTTTATTAAATATTTATTTTAGTTACTTTATCAATTTAAAATTCTAGCTGAAGCAAGCCAGTCACTGGTGAATATTTTTTTTCTGAAATGAGAACAGAAAAATCAGGAGTATTTCTTTCCTCTCCGATACACAAGAAAAGTATCTTTAGAATATAATTCTGCAGAAAAAAAGAAAAAAAATTATTTGCTCTTGTATTTTTTTCAGCTATTTTATTGCTTCAACTCTTTCTTTACTCTGTTATTTAAATTTAAAATCTATAAATATGTAGATGCAGAGTATAACAGTTTTGGTTATACCTGACTTCAATTAATATTATTATAATGCTTTTTTAAATTTATTGTTGTGTTTTTATCGGAGAAAATAGTAACTTCGTTAAGTCCTGAAAAATTCTTCGAATTAGTCATGGAAAGTCATGAATTTGAATATCTAAAATGTAGCAGATACCCTGTACATTCACTACTGGATAAATGATTATCCTATGTCCTCTGTTTGTTAATTGTTATCAGTTATTTTTTAGATCAGTATGATTCCTTCACCAATGTAAAAGGGTCAATGGAGAAAATTATGTTAGTTATATTGAAGACTTATTTTCAAGCGGAAGATAAACATTTTGATGTCCTTGTCTTGGTAAGTTCTGGCATTGTTTTTCAGTTTGTTTTTTATACTAATGTCTATTGTGTAATTTATTCTTAATGTTTTCACAGGCCCTTGAACTAATGATAAATTTTGCTTTGAAATGTAAGAAGACATTTGTTCTTTTATGCCTCAAAAAATTTGAAATTAATAGTTCTGAAGAGATTTTGGCAATTGAAGCTCTTTTAAAGGTAACATCTTTTATCTAAGCTTTATTTAAATATTAAAATATGTGTTAATAAAGTGAGTGTATATATTTTTTTAAATGTTTCAGATTCTTGATACTAGTTTAGAGAAAATTAGTAGGGTCAAATTAAGAACTGTGGAAAATCCTGAATCTAATTCTGAAGTAGAAGATCAAGAAGCCCCTACTGAACAACAAGAAGTGGATTACTTAAATCTTGGTAATTATTTATTTATTTTTTAAATACTATACCCAGACTTAGATAAATAAAAAAAAACTTTCTTGGAGCAATTTATTAATTTTAAGAACTACTATCAACTCTTTCGCCATCACATAATTTTGACAAAATTTGTTCAAAAATCACTGATTTCCTAAGTGTTTTACTTTTTTTTTAAAATCTAAAGTATAAGGCTTTTTGATGACATAAAACCTAGTTGTTGATTTGTTTTAATACTTGGCTTTCTTTGTATATCTAAAATCTAAGTCACTCAGAAGCATTTCAATGCAAAGATTTAATTAATATTTTTATAAAAATTACCGTTGCCCATTAAATTTTTGTGTGCCTGAAAGTCAAATTGAGTTTTGAACATTTAAAAAAAAAAGAATATAATGAATAATTCTATAAAATTTTCTATGATAATGACAAATTCTCTGTGAACAAATGACAAATTCTCTGTGTGTATGTTTGTGTATATCATACATACCTGACTGTATATCTTTTTTGAAGTATGTAAACTTGAATGGAATCTTTTTGGTTGTGTTATTTTGTTATTGAGCATTGGTCTGTTTTTTAGTATAGAACTTTTTTTAAAACATAGCATTTTAACATGCCAATTCTATACACCAGATATCCCTATAAATTCTGGATTTTTGCTGCATGACGGTGTGAATAAATAGATTTGAGTACTGTCAAGTTCTACTACAATATTATAAACAGAGTATATGTTTTTTAATTATTGAAAATATTTACTTAGTTATAAAACAACTGAAGTTTTCTCTTTAAGGGAATATAAACACCAAAAATAGTGCAGTAGTTGATTTTGAAATTTTAAAATAAGCATAAATTGGACATACTTCAAGGATTTTTAATTTAAAAATAAATGTTACGACNTTTTCCGATAAATTGATTCTGATTTTCGAATTCTGTTTTCCTTCTTAAGTAATCAGTTTTGCATTTTCTAATTTTAAACGTTTTAAAGTATTGTATTTTCTGCAAAGAGATTACAAGGTTAACCGACAAAAAGAATTTAGTGTTATATAAACAATGATGTTTATATAACAATCACCACCAACAATTGCTTTCAATATGTCGGTCTAAACACTTTGGCATGCGGCCCTTCATTGGTCAATCTGCTGTGCATGTGGCCCTTCACTGAAAAAGGTTGTGCACCCCTACTTTAAGGGAATATAAACACCAAAAATAGTGTAGTAGTTGATTTTGAAATTTTAAAATAAGCATAGATTGGACATACTTCAAGGATTTTTAATTTAAAAGTAAATGTTACGACTGATTATGTATTGTATATATTTTTTCAAGTTTTAAAGCTTAATCATAGATGGTTATTACAACTGTTTGAATTTTCTCAAATAAGAATAGCATTTTTTTCAGTTTTCATTAACGCCACTTCGATGATTGTAGAATTTTATGAATTTTTTTTTAATGGTATATAAGTAAGTTTTAAGCATTTTGACTGCAGTCTGAAAAAATCTAATATTGATTAGAAAAACAAAAATCTTTGATGAAGTGGAAAATCATATGATGATGCTTTTATGGGATGTGTGAGAAAAGATAATCCTGAAATTTCTTTAGTTATGTTGTTCTAATATTTGCATTATAAAGTATATTTCACATAAAGATTTGTTTGATTTTTTAAATTTTTTTAATGTTAACATTTTGGTGACCGATTCGGGAGTTTTGTAGTTGTTAGTTGTAGCTGTTAAAAAATGTGCTGTGGCTAGCTTATACTCAGGTGCTATGCATTCAGACAGCAAATTGTTTATGCCCAAAACTCTTCATCCTTTTAAAAGTTGTAATACTTTATGTCACAGTAATTTTTTTATTTTTTTTTTGTATCAGGAATGGAAAGTATATTTCAGGGGGTTTGCTTTCTTTTTCTCTGGTTCAGATCTTCTTTATATTAACTATCCTTTTTTGTTTTGTTTTTACCTTGCGTTTTAATCAGATTCAGCGATTAAAACTATTTCATGTCCTTTCCTTAAGTATTTAATGCCATGTGTGTTTACGGCGATATAGCCAATTTCAATCCTTATGCTGTTACACTATCTTTATATTAGCTATCCTTTTTTTGTTTTGTTTTTACCTTGTGTTTTTATCAGATTCAGTGATTAAAACTATTTCACTTCCTTCCTTAAGTATTTCATGCCATGTGTGTTTAGGGCAATATAGCCAATTTCAATCCTTATGCTGTTAAACTATTCATTCATTTACCTCATTAAAAGCTTCAGTTGTATTAAATGCAGGGTTCCCGCGGTCTTTGAAAAGTTTTTGTAGTAATGGTAAATAATTTAGGTTAATGCTTTTCGTATTTTAATAAACCACTTTATTGTTAAGTGGTTTAGAGGGTGAAGTCTTCATGCTTATATAATTTCTTTGGAAAACAGTTTTTAGCGGTGGTTACACAGAAATTCAAATATTGACAAATGTTTTATTTCTGTTACCGTTTTTTAAAATTTTCAAGGCATGTGTGAACATTATATTTATAGGGTTCCCTGGGATGAACTATGGGAATTTATAGTTCATCCTGTTTCGAGTGCCGAAAAATAGGTGCTCATTTTAAATACTTGTTAGATGTGAGTGAACAAAACAAAAATACTTTGAAACCAAAACACAAAGCTACCAACAAAACTGGAAAAAACGTAGAAAAATATATTTGTAAATGGATTTTATGGGTTTTGATTTTAACGCAAATGGATTTTATGTGTTTTCTTCAAATCAATTGTGTTATTTTAAAGTAAAGAATCTGTTTTTAAGTTTAATATTATCAATTATATTAATAATATATTCTTTCAGTTCTACAAGCTGCTGACGAAGATATGGAGTTGAGCATGATTGTTTCTTTTACTGGAATCCTTTTGATGTATTTTATTGATACAAAAAAGGTAAGAAAAGAGGAAGCTTATTTACATTAAGAGAGCTGTAATTTAAGTTTTCATTTTTATATCATATTTTAATGAAGTTGTGAGGGATCTCCAGCAGGGTTGGGTTTTTGCCGTCAAAAACTGGTTTTTGACATGACAGTGGTAAAAACCGTGTTTTTACCGGTAAAAACCGTCAAAAACCTACTGTTTTCTTTAATTTATGGCATATAGCGGACAATATATTATTTTCACATAATTGCCTTTATAAATGAATGTTGTAAATGATTGCTATTGATTTTGCAACTATATACATGTATTCTTATAGAAGGATATACATTCATACAGAAATATTGTAATATACTTATTGAAAATAGTGATACTTACTTTTATCATTATAGCTTGATTTGCAAAGGATTCAAAATTTTGCACTTCTTAATTGTTAGAAATAAACAAACAAACAAAAAAGCTTGGAACTATTAATAAATTCAAGAACTAAAAAGAAGAATTTAAAATTTGGCATTTCTTAAATATTAGAAATAAGCTAAACAAAACTTTCAAAACTTGTAACTACTAACAAACTCTAAGTCAAGAATGACTTGACATTCTTCAGTAATGTAATATGCCAAACAAAATGATGCTTGGAAATGTTGAAAATTTTGTTTAGTATCCTAATATTTTACTTCAAATAGTATGATTTGATATAATCATGTTGGGAAAATGCAAAAATCTGTTCTTAAATATCTTTTAACAACTTTTTTTCTAATTTTATTGCCCAAAAATGAATTAATTTTAAATCATAAGCAGTTAAACTCAAATTAAAATACAGTTTTATCAAAACTATGGGTTTTTGACAGTTTCTGACGTTTTTGACAGAGGGGTTTTTGACATGACGGTATAAACCGGTAAAAACCGTCATGTGTCAAAAACTTGCCAACCCTGATCACCAGTGATATATTTGTTGCAAAGAACGAACCATTATTAATTTCAGTCCTGAGTTATTTGAATTATATGTCACAATTTTTGTTATATGTTTGTAAAACTGTTATGCTAAATGAACTTTTTGTTGTTCTAGAGTTTCTCAGAATTTGTCCAAGAAAGGCTATCATCAGAAAAATGTGCTGATGTTGTAGCTGTATCTAAAAAGTTTTTACAGTTTACATTGATAACAGTAAGTGTTCTTATGAGTTCTCTATCTACATTGCTAAAAGTTGCTTTCTAGCATTTTGTGTTAAATTTTTTAAATTTTTAATTTTTTTTAATTTGCTTTTATTTACAGCTGTATTCAGACAACCAGCAAACAGCTTTTTTTTTTCTTCAAAAAAGTTTACCAATATTAGGGCCATAATAAATTTTTCAAAACTTAATAACATTTTGCTACTTTCATAAAAGAAGTATTCAATGATATATTTATGAAATATGCATAGAGAAATTAAAGAATATGTTTGGTATAATTTAAGCAGATATGTCTAACTTGATCAAGTGGGAATGAATTGTGAATTTTTAAAAATGATGAAATGAATCTAAGCCATAGTTAGTTTGTCCTCACAGAATTATTTAGTATATTGTAATCCTCTTGCTTATGACTGGTACAACAAATGGAGCAGAATAACGGAATTTAGCATGTGAAGTGCAGACTGATAAACATACATGGCAGTACTTTTACTTTCGTTACTTGTACCGCCGGTACAAGTAAAAAGTACGTACTTTTACTTGTACTTCGTTACTTTTTAAATTTAGTACTTTTACTTGTACTTTCGTTACTTTCTTAGGGAAAAAGTACAAGTATTTGTAACGGAAATATCGAACGAAATCGTTACTTTTTTTCTAAAACTCGGTAAGCTTTCTAAAAAAAAAATATTAAATTGAAAAAAAATGCTTACGTTTTTTTTTCAATTAATAAAATTAATGTGCAATATACATGCATTCACAGCTAACTTCGTGTTTAAATACCTTCTGTTTCAACTTATACTGCACATTCAATTATTTTTTGCTAGCTCAAAGATCACAAAGCTATCTGAAACCCCGTGTTTGCTTTATTTATGTTTGTGTTTTTTAAAAAAGCGTTTCTAAAGAGTAAAACAATTTTAAATCAATGGTAATTTAAATAATAAACTAAAAATTAAAATTGATAGATAAAATTTCTTTTTCGTGCAAATCCATTAAAAGTTTAATATGAAAATTATATTTGATTTTAGAATTATATTATACGATTATATTATAAAATTATACTATAATATTCTTCCGAATTTAATAATAAATTGATGTCCATAACTTTCAAAATTAAAAATAATTAAATAAATAACAAAAATTTTGCAAAAACATTAAAGAACATAAGAATATTATTCAATAAAAGTTTCGGTTACTTTGAATTTTCGATTTCCTAGAAATGTACTTTTAAATCGCTGCTTTTTTTGTTTAATACTTGTACTTTTTACTCGTTACTTTTTAAAATAAGAACTTTTTACTTTTTACTCGTTACTTTTTTTAAAAATACTTGTACTTTTACTCGTTACTTTTTGAAAGTAACGTTGCCATATATGCTGATAAACTGCTAAATAAACAGGGTGGCCACCCACCTGGAAAACCTTTAAAACCTGGAATTATCAGGGAATTTTTTTATACTGGATAAAACCTGGAAAAGTCAGTGAAATTTGGATAAAAACCTGAAAAAATCAGGGAAATTTAAAGAAAGGCTGGAATTTTTCTTAATTTGAATTATTTTACCATCCATTATATTCACTTTATTTAAACTGAAATTTATCGTCAAACAGTTGAAATATCATCAACTTAGTAATACTTTGCTTGTATTAAAATTCTTTCCATTATTACCCTGTCAAAATAGAAGTTAGCAGAATTACTAGAAAATTAGTAAATTTAAAGAAATATTGCTTGAATATGAGTTTTATTTACATTGTTGTTAATATATCTTACATAATTAAAATTAGTAGTTATTTTTCTACTAGCTTTTACAAGATGGAAAATTGTATAAAACATTGATCCATCCATTCCAACAGGAAAAAGAAGGCAATTAAAAAAAAAATTGGGTCACTGTATTTGCTATTTGGTACATTTTGTGCAAAAACTACAAAACTAGCACTTTAAAAAAAAAAATTTTCATTAAAAGTAATATATTTCACAAGCTAAATATATTATTTTCCCCACATCTATTCAAGATGATACATACAAAAAATAACATTTTAAATAGAATACTTTATAATATTGACACTTTTCTTGTATTCATCTGCACTTAATGAGAAAATAAAATACGCTGACCTGGACATTTTAAGATTGTTACTGGAAAACCTGGGAAAATCAGGGAAATTTGAAACCTGATTTGAGTGGCCACCCTGATAAAAATCTGCAATGTTACATTGAAAATATGAACTGGATTTTTTAAAAAAATCAGCAGTTGAATGATGGTTTACTTTCCACAGTTGAAGCAGTTCATGGTATAGGACAAAATTGATAGTTGTCGCTAGCCACATGGCGACTAAATGTAAGAAATGGCAATTGTCTGCCACCTGATTACTTCATTTTTTGTCAGAAATGCACCCTATGAGCATTTTATTATTATTTTTTTAAATAAATATGGAACTATATTTGAAAATTTATGTTATGCTCTTTTTATAAATTTTTTCTTCATTTTAAAAATGAATTCATTCACCATGCTTTTAGAGATCTTTTACACTATTATTATCAAAAGTGTTTTCAATGTATTAAAAAGTTGCCTCATGTGTTTAAAAAGTGGTCCCTGTTAAAAATGTAATAACTGATCAGTGGCAACACATTCTAATTTTGTCGTATAGTTTAGAGTGCTTTCCACTGGCTGAATGTCACAGAACTCTCGTATTGTTTTTCAAAATTTATTTTAAATAAATTAAAATAAATTTAATTATAAATAAAATTACAGAATTTAAAAAGTGAAACTACACTACATTTTTTCATATATTCAAATTTACTTGCAACTCTTAGTCAGTCAGGCTGACACTATTATCTTAAAAACAATTCAAATAAAAAGTTAGAAACCAAAACAAACAAAATCATTACCAAAATTATTTATTCAGTAGAACTGCAATCGATCGTTTCTCATAGGATCAATCATTGCAAACAATAGATATGGAAAAACAACGAATGTTGGTCAATGTAGGAGATCAAATATTGACTTGAAAATGTATGGAAAGTAGAAAAGAATGGACTCGAAAATAAATTTACTATAAGTATAAAAAATTATGTTCTTAAGGCGGAAGCATTAGCAATGCAAAATAAACGCTAATATTTATTTAAAATTTTAAAAGTCTGGTGCGAAAGGATTTTTTCCTTTCAGTGCAAACAATTTATGACATTTGCAACAGATCGCTGTTCATTATCTCTGAGTTTGTGGGAATACAGAAAGGTGTTAGTACTTGTTTCTGTTCTTGTTTGTAATCTTCATTGATATCAATTTGCAATACAAGTTTCAACATTATTTTATCAACCGATGGATAAACATCAAAAGTGCTGCTTGAGACATTTTCCCTAAGGTGTACCAAATCCTCATATTCTTCTTTATTTTAGCATCAGGAGTTAATATTTTTCTTCTCAAAATAAAATACTATCGTTAATATTTTACTTGTTTAAAAATACTATCCGCAAAAAGATATTAGTGCTAGTGAGTTTTGTCGCAGATAGCTCGAAAAAATTCTGCCACGAGGTATGTATTGTGCTTTGACAATATAAACCCATTTTTCTAATTTTCCTGATATCTTTGTGTTTCATTAGGGAGGTATGCCTGCAACTGGAATTCTACTCTTAAGAACCTCAATAACCAAGTTAAGTGAGCTCCACCCGTCCTCGTCGTAGCTCTCATTCGTATTTTCTGCTTCATTTGTAAATATTTTATTAGTTTTTTTTAAATATTTCTTTTTCATTCATAAGTTTTATGCAAAGAGGACATGTTACTAACTTGAATTATTACAATGTCAAGTTCTTCAAGCATTTAACTGATAATCTGTGATGTATAATATCTCTGTAATGTATGTCTATCATTTGTGATGTGTGACATTTAACCGACTTACATTTTATCTCATTCATTTGAAATGAAAGAAAATTTTGACGAAGAATCTGTTGCAATTTAGAAATGAATTAACATGTCTTGACTACTTGTGTAAAATCCATCTGGCAGTTGAAAATCTGTGATGTAAAATATCAGTGTTGTTACTTTATGTTATGAACGTTTGTAATGTGTAATATTTTATCTTTGTATTTATTTTAAACCTTTTTTTATTTAAAACTTAATTGAATTTTTTTAAAAATTGTTTATTTTTTTTGGGGGGGTTTTTTTTTACTGTTCATATGTATTATTGATTTAATCATGAAAGGATTTATTATCATCAAATGATTGAAATGAATAGTAATTTATATATTTAGAAAGTTTTTCTTAAATATAAAACATCATTGTAAAAATTAGTCGGAATTCTTTTAAAGTATGTTATGTATCAATTTTAGTGAATGCAATTTTAAATAATATTTTAGTAATGTAACAAAACCGAAGTCACGAAAAACAATCTAAAATAGGGAAGAAAAAAAAGCAAATGTGCCATTAAACAAAATAAATATATATTAATTTATATACATGCAATGTACTATCACTTTCTTTTTTCAGTTTGAACACAAACAATACAAAATTGTGTATTTTACAATAGAATCAGTTACACTTGAAATAAATTACTTTTGGGATATAATATAAATAATTGCAATTGATAAATAATTTTAAATAAATCTTAACAAAATAGTTTTTTTTTTTTTTTTAAATTTTACTGACTTATTTATCTTTCTACTTTTTAATTGTTGGATAATTTATTTGAGAGTTTTAAATCTTCTGACTAATTTGTAGTTTTTTTCAAAAATCTATTTAGCTTGAACTTCATGGTAGCATTTTACTTACAATGTCTAAAGAAAGAATTACTGTTCCATTATTTTAAAAAGAGCAATTGTCCCTGTCTTCTTCAATTAGAATGTACCTAACTTCAGGCAATAGGTTGTTTTTGCTCGAAAACGTATGTATTATTTACTGAAAGTAAAATATAAATGTCTTTGATGTAAAATTCTGCTTAACTAGTGCCAACGTATTAAATTAATTCTTAAATGGATTTTTTTACTAAGTACAGATAATTGAGTCCTAATGAGCCAGGACTCCGACTTAATATAATAGTGGCACGTTATATTCTGCTAGCTTTAACAAAATAATGTGTTTTCTTAATTAGTTTTGGGACCTAGCCACAGATAATCTGAACATGGTTAAGCAGAAATACACTGTAATATAACATAAATCTGATGCGTAATTCTGCTAGTAGTTGCAAATTAAAGTAATTTTATTTATTTTTTATTAAGCGCTGATAATCAGTATATGGATAATCAAACATAGTGTAATATAAATTAAAAATAGTTATTCTGGCCAAAGTAAAAATACATTATTATTATTTTATAAGCACAGGTAATTAAGACTGTACTGTATTATAATAAGAAATGGCAAAATGAAGTATCAGGTTACACTGAGTTTTTAGCATTTGCTAAATAACATGCAAGAAAGAAAATTAATGCATAGGGTACGTATAATAAACTAAATTTTTCAGAATAACCACTGAAAAAGCATTTTAACTTTAGAAATCATTAATTTATAATGAGAATAAAATTTTGCTTGTTTTACTATTTGTTTGAGTTTCTATTATATATGCAATGATTTTGTTAATGATATTAAATGGCAATGCTACTGTTGATTTAGTGTGATTACATGTTTCCCATAAAATTTATCATAATTTCTTTTTAAAAACAATATGCCTATATTTAAACGAATGTGTTTATTTTAAACAAATATTTTTAGTAACTATATTTTTTGCCTTTTTAAAATTACAAGTAAATTTTAATTCATTTTTAGAGACTAATTTTAAGCTTAATTCACTTGATACATATTTTCTGATGTTCTATAAAAGCTTTGTTTTTAATACGTAATTTAAAAATATAACTCAGTTTCTTGTAATTTTATAAAGATAAGTTTACCAACTTCACCCCATTTCTAAAGAATAAATATGTAAGTTGAAGTTATGTAAATAATTTTTTATTATGATTCATGTATTAGCTTATTTTAAAACAGCTTTATAAATTTACTGCCATGTACATTTTTATCTTATGTATACACATTTGCAACACTATAACAATTCTTTTTTTTCCACCTGCATTTTCCAATATATTTGTTTTTAGGTTTTTCATTATAGCGCATTTGTATATTTTCGCATTGTCTGTGTCCTGTGGTTATATTTTATAAATGTGTATAGGTATGTATATTTATAACGTATGTTTTAATATTCAAAAACATAATATTTACGTGTCAAACAATCAAACTTTAGGGAAAAAGGACATAAGACTTATTTGTTTTTCCAAATGTATTAAGACATTGTTAAGGCATAATTTTAGAGAATATTGTTCACAATTTTTGAAAGATAATTGTATTTGCTAACTTGGCGGCAGTTAAGATTAAATGTTAGCAATTTTAAGTAATGAAAAAAAGAAAAAAGAAGAAACAAATTTTATATAGAATACCTAAATTGTGATTTCATTTTATACCTATTTATTAATAACTTAGAAAAATCTTTTGGACCTATGTGTATTTGTAAACATTTTTAATGTATTTAATAAACACTTTATTAATATTGATTGCTTTTTATTGATTTCCTTTGTGAGATTATAAAAGTGTATACAATTAAAAAATGTTTTAAAATCAAATATATGTTAAAATTTGAAAAGCTACTATTCTGAATGCTCAACAATTGTTATAAAATATTTTTTATTTGGCCCCTATTTAGAGAATTAGATTTTAGTTTAGTTCTTAATTAGATTGGATTTTTTTCAATTTTGTAATCAACTGTAAAATTTTTAGTTTGAATTATTCATAAAATAAATTTCGAATGTGCATGATTGCTGGGATAATGTATTTTAAATATTAATTTTATTTTATTTTTCAGTTACTGAAATTAAATATTCTTAGAAATTTTGTATCAATTATTAAAATATGAAATATAATTCTTTTTATTTTGCATTAGCATGACATTACGGACTATTTTCAAAATCCCTGGCAATCTTATATGAATTAACCATTATATAAATCCCCTCCCTAGTTTTAATGCTCTCTTAATTGGTCACAGACAATAATTTGTGTCTAAAAAGATTTATTTTAAATTCTCGTAACTGATACAGCATAACAAATTTAGTATGACTGGTCACCTATTCTAGCGCAAAAGCTTTGCGAACGGCGAGTAATTCTGCTGTTCGCAGAAATGCGACTAAGGAATTGAAATTTGACCTATCGAAAGTGTCATTTTTATTTATTAACTTAATGTAAGTTATTTTTTCAAAATACCAGTTTAGTTGAAAGCTCCTGGAATTTTTAGTGTTTTTTTCATAAAATCAGTTTTTTTTTTGCTTTACATATTGACTATTCTTTCAGTGTTCTGGAAATTTTTTTTTCTCTAAAATGTATATATATATAGATATAGTTTAAAAATTTATATATATATAGATGTTGCCAATCTTAACATTAATATTGAAATTTTTAAAAATAATAAAGGAAAATACAAAAGCTGTAAAACCGGTTCCTGTAAGTCTTGTTAACGATTAAGATTACTTCTGATCTGTTTCCTCTATTGAACTCAGCAAGTCATTACATGGCCATTAATAAGATCCAAGAAAAAGTCAATGCCATAGAGAAATTTTGTGGTAAATGAGAGATCGAAATCAACGTGACTAAATCAAATCTCTTAATCATTTACAGAAATTACAATAGGAAATTAGAAGATAATAGCGAAATCAGGCTCTTCGGAAAAGATATAACAAAAGTTACTAACACGAAGTGCTTAGGGTTAAGCCTAACCAATACAATTAAACTGGAAACTACACATCAGAACAACATTAAAGAAGCAGAAGCGGCCTATCAAGTCCTTAGATCATTACTTTCAAAATATTTCAGAATGACTTTGCATACCTATATACGATATTTTATACTAGAGCAGCGTTATAAATCATCCAATGCGTAAATTATGAGCATTTATTTTCCATTTGTTTATAGAGATTGTTAAGCAGGTAATTAATAAACATTTATCTTAAAATTGTTTTTAAGTTCGAAATACGCTATAGAGGATTACATCCTGACGAGAAACTTTACGTTTTATAAATTTTTTTGTTTCCAATTCGGAAAATATAAGTCACTGACATGCACTCAGAATTTTCATATGTATATATATATATATATATATACACACACTTAATTGTTTGACAGTTGCTAAGGAGCAACTTATTTATGCAAAGTAGGGATCCCGACCAACACCTCCTAGAAGAAGGAAGGCCTCAGCACGGATCAATTTAGTAGTCCGATGTGACGAAGTTAACTGCGCAGTTAATGAAAAATAAGAAAGATGTCATTATGTTCGGGGTACTAAGCTGCGCAGTGATTGAAAATACGAAATATGTCATTACTTTTGGACTACTAAAGGATATTTATGGTAACCCGTGCAGAGGCCTACTCTATTCTAGGAGGTGTCCCGACAGCCCACCCATAACTAAAATCAAGCTCAGAAGGCATGGCAGAGCAAGGCCCGTATCTGTATAGGGGGGGGGGGCAGTGTAGACAAGCTCTTCATTCATTCATTCTTAAACTCTTGCTGTTAGGTGTTTAACCAATATAGCGCCGTTGGATCTCGAACTTATTTCTGTGAAAATCAAGGGTGTATTATAATAATTAAGTACGAAATCATTTGAGTGTTTACGATATAGTGGACAAGCAGTTGGAGAACTGGATGTAGGTTAAAGTGTCACCACTGTGAGTATAGTTATGGAAGGTCGCAGAATATGGAAATGCTATGCGAAAGCTTGCCAGTGCAGTGGTAGGGTAAGAAGACCACACCTCAAAAGGATCGATATGTATCCCTTGTGGCGAAAAGGAACATAAATGTTACTCCCAGTAGGATGGTGGCAGACCTTGTAACTACCACCGGTATATAGGTTTCTGCTAGAAAAAACGCACAGCGATTAAATAAAGTATTGAATGGAAGCCTGTTCGATGCATCTCGCTTCAATCACGCAATCGTCGAAAGATTACGCTGGTGTAAGGGACATATTGGTTGGGATCACCAACAGTGGTTCAGAGTGATGTTCAGTTCAACGACGAATCCCGTTTTCCTGTGACAAGTTACCAGCCAGTTACTGTGGAGAGAGAGGGGGAACACGTTATGTACAACAGTATGTTCATAAAAGTGATCGGTGTGGGCAGACCAAATGTACGATCGCAGAACCCCGCTTTACGTTTTCAGCGAGGTAGCGCTGCATCTACATCCCAGCGATACTGCAGAGAGATTATTCTGGATCATGTTCAGCTTTTTAGGGATATGGAAGGTTCAGAATTTCTGTTTAGGAGCTACAATGCTCGGTCACACAAGAGCGCTGAAATATCGGACGCACTAGAAAGTGAAAATATTGTCCGTATGCAATGTCCTGTGTGCTCTCCAGATTTGAATCCTATGGAGCCTGTCTGGCAGGCGTGTTTCACAAAAACATGCCCTTCCCGAATTATGTAAGAGCTGATAACCGCCTTGAGAGAGGTGTGGCACAATATCACCCTAGGACACCCTGATACTTAAATGGACAGCATAATAACAGATGCAAAACATGCCTTAATGTCCGAGGTAATTATACATCTTACTGAGATACTCATACATGCCTCATTTTTCGTGACTGTTTGGAAATCGTCTAAGGAGCATATTTTTTATAATTAATTTTCTTATATTTCGATATGGCAATAATTATACTATTTTGTATTATAATAAAAGCACATTATCTCGACTAATTATGTACTTAGTTTCATTTCTTCAATCAATTACCATTATTAGTTACTACGGAAAATGTAACTGTTCCTTAGCTATTGTCATGCAGTATATATATATATATATTCATAAGANATATAATTCTTTTTATTTTGCATTAGCATGACATTACGGACCATTTTCAAAATCTCTGGCAATCTTATATGAATTAACCATTATATAAATCCTCTCCCTAGTTTTAATGCTCTCTTAATTGGTCACAGACAATAATTTGTGTCTAAAAAGATTTATTTTAAATTCTCGTAACTGATACAACATAACAAACTGAGTATGACTGGTCACCTATTCTAGCGCAAAAGCTTTGCGAATGGCGAGTAATTCTGCTGTTCGCAGAAATGCGACTAAGGAATTGAAATTTGACATATCGAAAGTGTCATTTTTATTTATTAACATAATGTAAGTTATTTTTTCAAAATACCAGTTTAGTTGAAAGCTCCTGGAATTTTTAGTGTTTTTTTCATAAAATCAGTTTTTTTTTTGCTTTACATATTGACTATTCTTTCAGTGTTCTGGAAATTTTTTTTTCTCTAAAATGTATATATATATAGATATAGTTTAAAAATTTATATATATATAGATGTTGCCAATCTTAACATTAATATTGAAATTTTTAAAAATAATAAAGGAAAATACAAAAGCTGTAAAACCGGTTCCTGTAAGTCTTGTTAACGATTAAGATTACTTCTGATCTGTTTCCTCTATTGAACTCAGCAAGTCATTACATGGCCATTAATAAGATCCAAGAAAAAGTCAATGCCATAGAGAAATTTTGTGGTAAATGAGAGATCGAAATCAACGTGACTAAATCAAATCTCTTAATCATTTACAGAAATTACAATAGGAAATTAGAAGATAATAGCGAAATCAGGCTCTTCGGAAAAGATATAACAAAAGTTACTAACACGAAGTGCTTAGGGTTAAGCCTAACCAATACAATTAAACTGGAAACTACACATCAGAACAACATTAAAGAAGCAGAAGCGGCCTATCAAGTCCTTAGATCATTACTTTCAAAATATTTCAGAATGACTTTGCATACCTATATACGATATTTTATACTAGAGCAGCGTTATAAATCATCCAATGCGTAAATTATGAGCATTTATTTTCCATTTGTTTATAGAGATTGTTAAGCAGGTAATTAATAAACATTTATCTTAAAATTGTTTTTAAGTTCGAAATACGCTATAGAGGATTACATCCTGACGAGAAACTTTACGTTTTATAAATTTTTTTGTTTCCAATTCGGAAAATAAGTCACAGACATGCAATCAGAATTTTCATATGTATATATATATACACACACTTAATTGTTTGACAGTTGCTAAGGAGCAACTGATTTATGCAAAGTAGGGATCCCGACCAGCACCTCCTAGAAGAAGGAAGGCCTCAGCACGGATCAATTTAGTAGTCCGATGTGACGAAGTTAACTGCGCAGTTGATGAAAAATAAGAAAGATGTCATTATGTTCGGGGTACTAAGCTGCGCAGTGGTTGAAAATACGAAATATGTCATTACTTTTGGACTACTAAAGGATATTTATGGTAACCCGTGCAGAGGCCTACTCTATGGTGTTGTCCCGACAGCCCACCGATAACTAAAATCAAGCTCAGAAGGCATGGTAGAGCAAGGCCC